ACTAAAATATCCAGAATTACATTATCACTCACATTGTGCTTAAAATACAACTGGAATTTAAATAATTTTAATTGTGTGTTTTAACATATTTTAGTTTTTCAAAGATCCTGTACACTGAAAAAAGAAAATAGTTTATCCAACTTAATTTGTTTAACTTGGTAGATAAGAAAGGGAAGACAAAGTTCATCAGGCTGGAGTTGAACCTGCGACAGCCACATAGAGGACTGAAGGCTCCTAATGGGAGTTGAGCTTTAACCTCTGCACCACCACAGCATGTACAGGATGCTGTGTCAAGACATCAGAATAGGAACACGGCATTGAACTGGTTTCTAATTCACTTTTTAGAGTATTCTGTTAATGAGGGACAGATCCTGTTCAGACTGGTGCAGAGGAAGAGCACAGCTCACAGACGTGATGCGGTCGTTCTAAATTCAGTTCCACCCTGATAACCTTAGCTGCTCGTCTTCCCCTTCAAATAAAGTTTCCTTCTTTATTTGAAGTAAACTAAATGATTTGAGTAAGACTGACTTAAATATGTCATTTTAACCACCTTATTGATTCAGTTAAACTTTATAAATTGAGTTGGATGATCATAATATGTTGAGTTGGATAAACTTAATTGAATTACTTGTTATCATTTGAAGCAATTCAATTAAGTTGGTTCAACTAATTTCCTTTTACAGTGTAGGTGCATCATATAAGAGCAATCAATCATTAATTATCTAAACATTTTGGTTCTGAATGATAAAATATGCTTTGCATTGAAAAGGTTTGTTAAACGTCAATTGACTAATCAGGGCATTTACCAGACAGCAGAATCATTTCCTGTCTCCTAAACATCCTTATCATCACATCAGCAGCAGAAAAACAAATTTAAATGATAAATATTACTCGAATGATCTAATAAAAGTATAATTTACCTTTTGTTTTGTCAGTTTTCTTGAGCCACAGAGTTGGTTTCCAGAGTCCTGACAATGTTGTCAGCACTCAGTCAGCACTGAAGTGGAAACTGATGCTCTTCTGTTAAATCAATCTTTTTACTTTTCTTTTTTTTCTGTAGCACTTAGAGCTGTTGGTTAGAGGGAAGTTATTAATCTAAAGCTTTGAAATGGATGTTAGCGGTTAATACACTGGCCTTAATGGCTTAGTAATGGAACAAAGTTCACTGATAAGGAAATCTGATGAATAAACTGTAAACTTACTGTTATCACCCATCATTTCTATTTCCCTTTTTATGATATAATTTTCTATTTTGTGTCAATTCATTTTATATATTCAGAGATCATCTCTTCATTTTATTAAGAGATGCTGATTGATATAACAATGGTGTATTCAAGTAACACAATTTCTATAAAATATGTTTTGTTTCTAGTTCTCTTGTTTAAGTATTTCTTCCCTGGAATTGTGAAGAAAGTATGTCTGCTTGTTATTTTTTATTTTATTTTTTATTTTAAATAGAGACTTCTGCTAGGAAAATGGCTCTCAGTAAATAAAATAAAGAAATAACATAATTATAATAGATAAAAGTCATGTCACCGTTCAACAACTCCATGCTCTGCTACCCTGGAACATTATTTCATATTTGACCTGTTCACAATTGTAGCTCATTGTAAAAGCTACATAATTGCCAAGTAGGGATTAATTTAAATTATTTATCTTCACTTTTGTTTTAAATTGCTGCCATGTCTTGATTATATTTTATTTTACTGTAATGAACTTCTGTACCATTAATAATGAGGATTCTCTCTCAGAGGGCTTTTAGATGAGTAAATAGTTAAAAAATAAAATTTTATTGTAATGACAAAAAGATTACATAAACACTGGTGAATTGTATAAATATACTGGAGTCGTAAAAATACGATAACTTTTATTTGAAACCTCTTTTAAGTTATTTTTTTATCAACACATATGGTCAATAGTTTACTGGTAACAGTCTTTCTAGTAATTCATCTTATTTATTGTTGAAATGGCAACAAATCTCTAAAACGTTGGAGTGAAACAGGAAACACTGCAGGTAGTTTTTACAAAGATTCATTAATCCTCAGAATCAGACACAACAAACCCAGATTACTATGAAAGCACTTCTGAATCACCTTACAGATCAAACAGCGTCAGTACTTGGACCAATCATGTTGTCATTTCCCATGCTGCTCATCTCCTGACCGTTAGACATTTTACAGAAACACAATGAAGCCAGAACTTTGTCCAGAAGGCTTTTTCGAATCAGCAAATACAAAATGGTGTCTGCAAGAGGACTCATGTAAATACAAAGAGTAGCCACAGTAGTAAGAGTCAAACTGTCTTGTACCAGGAACCAAATGATGATGGGCAAGAAAAGTGTTGTGTAAATAAGCAGCACTACAACCAGAATGGCTACAATTCTTCTTTTCTCACCTGCAGGAACGCTGTGAGCTGCAGACAGAGATCTGATTGATCCAAACAAGAAGAAAAGGAACAAGGGGAAGGGCAGGAGGAAAATAAATGTCAAGATATATGCATATATCTGTATGTATGGCTTGAAATTAATAGCTAGCAATAAAGGAAGAGGAAGAACCCAGACCACAATGCAGACCACAACAGATGCTCTGTTGTTTCTCCTGAATTTGTACCAAACTGCTTTGGCAATAACCAGATACCTGAAATAAAATATCAACTTATTTAGTATTTGGAGGCAGGTGAAGAACAGACATGCTAATGGCATGAGGTGGAAATGTAAAATACAGAGAAACAGAATCACCTTTCCACTGAGATGCACATCATGAATCCCACACTGACTAATATTCCCCATATACAGAAGAAACCAGGGATGACATCATCCGGAGACAAATACATAGGAATTCTGCTGCAGAGCTGAACGAGATCAGAAATGAGAAGGTTGATGATGTAGGCTGAAGATCCCTGATCCTTTTTCAGCTGCAGGACAGAAAACAGGAAAAAATCAAACAGGAATGTTCATAACATGTGGGATGTTTCCTGTTCCACAAATGCGGAGGGAGAAATAATGTTTAAAGGGAAAAACAATATGTCAAATAATAATTTCTTTAAATTTAACTCTACTCACCTGCAAAAAGACTGCAGTCATGAGCACCAGAGTCAAAGGAAGTCCGATCCCAATGGTGATCAAATTGATCCAGTCTAAGAATCCACTGTATTCACCAGAGGTCTCATCAGTGTTGTTGCTTCTCTCGCTGTCGTTGAAGATCATGTTGCTGGAGTTGTAACAGTTTTCCTATGATGTCCAGATGATGTGGAAAACTTTCATTCCTCAGAGTGGAAGCTGATTTGAAGGCAGAGTTACTATAAACATGAACAATGGTGGTTTTATTTCATTTAAACATTGTTCAGTTTAAGTTTTTGCATGTATGTACAAATCTTGAATGGAATATAAAAACGTTCTCTGTGTTCTTCTTGTTTTTCAAGTACTGGCTGTAATTCAGAAAGCTTAGTTTAGGTTGAACAGATTCGATTTGGATGCTTTGGTGTCACAGTAGATGTTATTGTTACTATGGGTTAGTGTTACAATGAACTGTTAACAGATTGGAAATGTTTTTTAGCTGCATCAACATCCTGTCTCGGGTTTCTCCATAGAAAACTCTGCTTTATAATTGTCAGCGGTCTGAGTTTTTCATCAAATAGGTAACCATCTTCAGGTTGTGTCAAGTGCAGGGAATCGCCTTCAATCAATATGTTAGACATTTATCTTCAGAATCTGGATTTGCTGTAGTAAAACCAAATGGTCACCATCTGCATGTGCAGCAGATCTGAATGAAAATCCACAGTACTGAACTGTTCTAAGAATTGGAAATCTTCATCACTGTTCATCGTCTCAATAAATGTCCTTCGACTAATAAAAGCACAAGAAATTTCCGTTTCAGTCAAGCACAAAACAATGCTCACTATAGAAAACACAAAACAATACATTTCAGCCTGTAACAGTTAAACTTTAAAAAGATTAATTATTTGCTCTCTTTGATTTCCATCAAGACAAGAAAACAAACATAACTCTTAAATGTGCAATGTTATTAGCAATAATAATCTTATGAGCGCATAACTTACATTTTGTTTGTCCAAAGATAGTTCGATTCATGCAGCCAGAGAGATTCTTTAACACACTCTCACATTCATCTATGGGCAGGGAACTACTGTTCTGAGATCAAATCCTGTTTGTTTCTGTAGCATTAATTGATTTGAAGAAACTGAGCACTCCTAAGGCTGTAGGGTAAATTATCTTTTATTATCTTGGTTTTAGTGCTTTCCCAAGAAGAGACCATTTAGAAGGAAATCTTACAATTAAAGTAACGGCTCCTAGAGTCTAATGGGTTGTGATGATGTAAGACTGAATAAAAACTGCCAAGTGGGTAAAGATAATTGTGGGTTTTTAAAGTAACGTGGAACATTTTGGTCATGTGATGATGCTGACTGATGCAAGCTGCACCAAAAATCACAGCCATCATGGATGCACCTCAAACTGAAAATGTTAGCCTGCTGAGATTTTTTTCTTTGATTGTTGAGCAGTGATGGACATTTTATTCCCAACTTGGTGACTCTCCTGAAAGCAGTGCATGACACGTCACACAGAAATGGAGAGTTAGTAAAAGGTGTTAAGACATGCTGACACCATAACAGTCTTTGAAACACTTCAGTTCACCAGTACTTGCCTCGCTTCCCAGTTTGCGTTTCCTTTGGCTATGCAGAACAAAGCAGCCTGATAAATTTGACTGGCAGCCAATTAGAAAGATGAGTTTGACATTTCAATAAATTATTTTAGCTTATATTTTAAAATACCAAACATGTAAAAATAGATCAGATTTTATGGTAAAAATATACAACTAAACATTTATTATTAGATTTTTTTATTCTTAGTATTTTTTTGCATTTCCTTCTGATCTTCCAACTTTCTGAGGGTCCTCTACCGCCCCCTGGTGGCCAAAACTTGTGAGCTAACCCAAAATAACTCACCGCAGTTCCTCTGTGATGAAGGGCCTGGCGAAATCCAAGCGTGACAAGTTTTGACAAGACAGATATGAAATCCTGCTTTAGTTAATGATTTGGTTTTGATCAGTGAAAAAGAGCAAATTGTTCTGATAAAAATCTGAGTGGATATCAAAAAGCTTTTACTCAAAATTTTCAGGATATTTTATTTGAAAAAGAGATAAATCAGAAACTGTTTGAATTTTCACTTTACTCAAAATAAACAGCTAAAATACAAATGAAGTATCTTCCTTGATTTGTTCATTTTTATATTACCAGATATAAATTAAAATTGTCTACCTTTGAAAGCTGACTCGGCTCTTCTAGATGATTTCGCTCCTCTGGTGTTTCAAGGTTTGTTGGCTGCATTAACAGTCTGCAGAATTTACCACTGGACACAACATGCAGCGTCAATGAAAGGTGTGCACATATTAATATTCATAAAAAAATGCAAAAATGTCTGACATTCAAAAGTCACATTGGCAATTTTCAAATGCATGATTTGGCATTATAACAGATGCTGCTGTTTCTGCTGGGAACCTGAATAAAACAGAAACTGTAAAGTTTTGTTTTTTGGCAGTCAGTCCTCTGAGAATTCAGATTTGATTCTTTTCTTGACAGAACTGACTGCAAAAGAGTGAAAGCATTCATAACCTTCAAAAAGCTTAAAAATACTCCATTGGACAAACTTATGGACATAAAGCTGCAAACAATTCAATATTCTGATCTGTAAAAATCTTCAGGCTGCAGGAGACTAAACTGAGTCATCTTTTGAATTCCACAGATTGTCTTAAGACTTTCCTTCGTCTGTCACTCTGCTGCTGTCAGTCCTGATTCTCCCCCATGAGGTGAAGGATATCTACTAACCCCTCCCTCACATACATTCTCATCAGTTCACCCTGAACACAACATACCTACTTCAGTAACCAGAGCCAAAGGTCATTGAGGGGAAAGCTGCCACCAACAGGCATGGCTGCGTTTGACCTCAGAGCTCCTCAGACTTCCTACCTTACACCAAACTGAGGCCCAGGCAGTTGACTGAATGAAGGAAGTTTTCTTGTCACCAGCTCAGACAGATCCAACAGAATTCCTGTTTTGGTCAAACTCATCAGGTTTATGGGCCTGGATCTGATGAGTGTAACTGAGTGACATCAAATTGACTACAGGACCAAATATGCGGTATGAGGAGATTGTCAGTAGGTGTCGCTGCAGCCAAAGTTTTGAGTTATTATTTTCCTGTGCTGTAGAGCATTTAGGATTCCATGAATTGTGTTCTATAAATAAACTTTAATTGTCTTGTTTTACCAGGTCACAGTTCACCAGCTCCAATATTCGTCTCCCTCTCAGAAGCTTTATGTCTCTGCTTCATGATGCACTGAGGTTTTCCATTACTCGCTTCATTTGCTCTACTGCGGCATCATGTGGACAATATAGGTACAGCAGGCAAAGTGAAGATGATGTGATGAGTGAAACTTTAGAATTATTTTATAAAAAATGATATTTGTGATGCCAAATATGGTCTGCATTTTGTCTCAATCTGTTTTTTATGATACAGTGACTGGATCAAAAGAAAACTGGAAATAAATGGAGGAAAAGGGTTTAGTTTAAATGAGCTTGTGTTGCTTTGTAACCTGCCAATGTGACGAGGGACAAAATATTATTATGATTATTATTAATTTATTTTTCTGGTTAATAATAAAAACTTTTATATGCTCAGTTTCAGGTGTTTCTGTTCTCAGTGATGTTGTCTGTTATATCTCACCCTACATACTGAGAAACACACCAGCAGTTTTATAAAGTTTGGATCAAACATTTTCTTTCCATCCTAGTCCTGCTTGATATTTTATCTTCTATATTTCTACAGCTTAAAACTCTATATTAATAGTTTAGATTTCAATGATTTAGATTTTTCCAAACATTGTAAACAATTTTGACTTCTTCCATGTCAGTGTCCTACTGGGATCCTCTGTAAAACCCTGTGGCACCAAAGGCTACATCAGCACATGACCTATGTGTCCTTATTTCAGGAAAACATTGAAGAAATTTGTTGACTACTGCAAAGTTTTATATTTAAATGTAAATATAAAGTGATATTTGAAAAGGACAACTGAGAGCAAAAGAAAAGTGGGTAAATCAGTGAGCCAAAAGTTATATTTGTTGCTTAAAACATTCTTTTTTTTCTAAATCCATCTACAGTCAATAATTTACAATATGCATTTCAATAAGGCTCATTTGCCCAGTTTAAAGTACTTTAAACATAACGTCTTAAGTATTAAACACAATTTCATTAAAGTATTAAACACAATTTCATTAAGCCCACATTAATGCATTTAAAATGTTTTTTATTAACTTGATGCAGGAATCATAGCTAACAGAAATAAAGGCTTGAAAACATCTGGACAAAAACCAAGAAACAATATATAAGATGAATTTGAAGACAATTAATCAATTAATCACACATTCACTGTTTGGATTATGATAAGAAGCCGAACATGACTGGTGGAGATGATTCAGTCTCTACCTGCAGAAAGGTTTTGGTCAAATAATGAGGGCAACAACCACAAAACATGAGAGAAGCAGGTCCAACTGAGCTCCAGGTACAAAATGAATAAAACTTTTCGAGCCAAACATTGAAAGTCATAGTCACATGTTATTGTCACGTAATGCAATTGTGCAACATTGTTTGGCAAGGCAAGATAGTTTTAATCTGAATAAAAAGTTTTTCTTTCAGATGAAGAGACAAGATTATAGATTAAAGAAACAAACTTTCACATTGTAGTTCAGCAAGCAGATTTCTTATCACAAAGCCCCAACAAACACTCAGCATCCATTTTTTAACTACCAAGAAATTCAAATTTTTCCATCTCATCTTTCTGTGCCTCATGAATTCCATTAAAAATAGTCCATGGTTTTATGATAAGACAGTGGAGAGTCCAGAAATGTTAAAAAAGGCATATTTATATAAAGCTGCTGTAGCTACAAAACACTGTATTAAAATTTCTCTGCTTCCTTTTCTGTATCATGCAAACCAAGAGGCGTTTCTGGTTTCTGTTGATTTCTGAGGAGATAAACAGCAGTTTTGCTTCATCACAACCAGAGATGGTTTTTTTTGGTTGAAAAAGTTACATCACCTTATGAACACTGTAGATGAGGAAAACTAACAGCATACTAAGATTAACAGTTACAAAATATGAAATAAAACAGTTTGCAGAATTAAAAACCTACAACTTCAACTTCAAGCCGTCCCTCCTGGGAGGGTTTGGAGTCATTAAGGTCGTTGGTTTTTTTAGCCCTTCTTGCGTTTATTTAAAGAATCTTCTAGTAAAATTGAATGTGATTGTTCTATAAAATGCAGATTTCAATTAAATCCCACTGATTCAAAGTGTCTGTGTTGTTACTATGATGTATTGTTTGTAGTTCAGAATACATTAACATCACAAAAATCTGACTTGGTTTAATCCACAGCTCAATAAAACTAATCTTACTGTTTTCTCTTGACAGAAACTTTTTCACTAAATGTTGTACCTGGTTAAATTCAACATGTGAGATAAACAAAGATAAACAGTTATATGAACGTCTTTTTAAAAAATGTCTGAGATTCAGAAGCTGAGACAACTCTGAGAATCAAACAGGTTCAGTTGTTGGGTTTTAGTATTCAGAAGGAAACCAAAGGGTCATGGAAAATTTAAAGCATATAGTTTAAAAGAAATCCCTGAAAAGTAGGTTTGGAAGACATTTATGTATCAGTGGCACCTAAACTGCTGTAGTATGTTCAGTCGACATGTTGTTGTCATCAGTGTTGCTGATCTCCTGATTCTTAGACGTCACACAGAAACACAATGAGGTCAAAACCCTGTCAACTGCACTTTTCCTCAGAAAAATACACATAGCTGAGTCTGCAAGAGGACAAAGATAAACACAAATTGCAAAAACAATCTTTAAGATTAAAAATTTCTTGGCTCCTTCCAACAGTAAAATTATTGTAATGGGCAGAAAAAGCAGAACATAAGTAAGCAACACTATGACCAGGATTGAAATGATTCGACGTTTTTCCTCTGCAGGGACTCTGCGAGCTTCAGACAGAGCTCTGATGCTTCCAACCAGGCAGAAGATGAACAAGGGAAGAGGGAGGAGAAGAAAAACACCAAAAATTGTTGCACTCATCTCTGGCTCCAGAGTGAGGTACATGGTCAGGATAAAAAGAAAGCAAAGGATCCAGACTGCGACACAGACCAACACAGATATCTTGATGTTTCGTTTAAATCTGTACCACAGCGGTTTGGCAATGACCAGATACCTGGAATATAAGATACATGCTGTCAAACATTACTGGTGTAGTGGTGTCATAAAGAACCAACATTATGCATGTAAACAGATATTTACCTTTCCAGGGAGACACACATCATGAACCCAACACTGGCTGTAATGCCAACATCAAGGGGAATGTCAGAGACAACATGGAAACCATGAACTATCAGAGGAATTCTGCTGCAGAGCTGGATGAGATCAGAAATCAGAAGGTTGAAGATGTAAACTGGAGCAACGTGATCTCTTTTCACCTGGAAACAAAAGGTGAATAAGGGCAAAACATTTATTACATAGTTTGTACAGCTATTAGATTATTTTTGTTCAATAAATATAACATATATTTTTTTTATTTCTCTTTTTGAAAAAACAAACTTACAAACAGGCTACAGAGAAAACCAACAATAAAAAATTACTATATCGCAACACCTAACATCATCTAAGTTATCAAGAACTCACCGTTGATAAAACAGCAAATATGGCCACCAGAGTCAGAGGAATCCCGATGCAAATACTGATCCAATCCACTATATCGAGGGCTCGAATAACGAAATCATCATCATCATCATGGTTGTTGGTATCTGTGTCATTGTTGAAGCTGTTTTGACTGATGCTGCTGTTCCATGATGTGTTGTTGACGTGGAAATCTCCCATTGTTCAATGTCAAACCTGCATGAGCAAAATAATAAATCATTTATTTTCTCTTAGCTTAGTTCATAAAACTATTATTATATGTTTTTTAAAGGGATAATCCCATTAAAGGCTGCTTTGTAATAGATCGTGAGTTGATTTTTGTAGTATTTTCACTTAAATAAAAATAGCATTCCCTTAATGGTCTCATTTTTAGCAATAGACTGAAATTCTTAAATGAGTGGAAAATTATCCACATGTATTAACTAAAACGTTCGGCACATATCAAAACTGTTATTTCTAACTTGTTATAGTTGCATTAAATTGAACAGAAGGCATGTTGGTTTCAATCACATCATATACAATGTGTTTTTTCACTTCTGTACATTGGAAGAAAAATTATATTTACCTTTCAAAGTTTAAAGATCCTGAAATGGTTCCTGTTTTTAGCCAGTCATCCTTCTCTTGTTAACGGTCTGCAGCGTCAGGTTTCTGTTCACTTGCTGTTCGCCGTTTGACCAATCTGACTGTAGTTAAGGGGATGGGTGCAAAGATGATGTGATAAGTCAGTTATCTTTAAGGAAGGAAGCGTCTTTATAGATCACAAAATGTTTCTGTTTTTTAAAATAGAACACGTGAACCAACCTGTTTCAACTCAGTTAATTCCAGTATTATGGCTGCAATAAACAACAAATATCCTCTCAATGTTATTTGCAAAAATGTACACTTTAACTTAAAACACTTGTTTTATATTTTTTACTTATATGCAACAGTTTAACTGTACACCAGGCTGCCTCCAGTCATCACTGCATTGCTCTCTTTGGCTGCTGCTTCATCACCTATGTGATGATCACCTATGTGTGAAACAAAACTGTATGTAAAAGCAACATAGCAGCGGCTCTACTCTGAGTCCCTCCTGGCTGACCGAGCTTCTCATCCTGTCTCTAAGGGAAAGTCCAAATACCCTACAGAGAAAACTAATTTCAGCCGCTTGTATCCGTGACCTTGTTTTTTTTGGTCATGATGCAAACTTCATGACCATAGATGAGAGTAGGAACGTAGATCGACAGGTAAACTAAGAGCTTTTGGCTCAGCTCTTTCTTCACCACGACAGATCGGTTCAGCACCCGCTTCACTGCAGACGCTGCACCAATCCGCCTGTCGATTTCCTGCTCCATTTTTCCCTCAATCATGCACAAGATCCCAAAATACCTAAACTGGGGCAGGACGTCCTCCCTCAGCTGCAAACAGCTCCAGTGAAAGCTGTAGATCATGACCTGATGAAGCCAATGGGACCACATCATCTGCAAAAACCATAGAAGTGATCCTAAAGCCACCACAACAGATCCCCTCAAAACCTTAGCATAAAGCAATAAAAGTAATGAACAGAATTGGTGACAAAGGGCAGCCTTGTCCCTGTATGACATATTAAAGGACCCGGTCCACAAAACACATGTAGACCAGTTGGGAAAAGTCCCACACAGCCTCCAGGACCCTGCTGAGGGTGTAGAGCTGGTCCAGTTCCACAACCAGAACCAGAACCACACTGCTCTTCCTGAACATGACTTAATATTTAACCTGTTCAAAATCATAGCTGATCTACGAAATGAAAAGCAAGGATTAATTTGAAATATTCATCTTCATCTCTGTTGTGAATTGCTGTCACGTCTTGATTACATTTTGTTTTACTGTAATGAATTTCTGCACCATTAATACTGAGGATTCTCTCTCAGAGGGCTTTTACATGAGTACATAACACATAAAATAAAATGTTATTGCAATGACAAAAAGACAACATAAACACAGTATAAATATACTGTTGTCATAAAAATACAATAACTTCTATTTGAAACCTCTTTTAAGTTAGTAATTTTTTTTATCAACACATATGGTCAATAGGTTACTGGTAACAGTCTTTCTAGTGATTCATCCTAGTTACGGTACTGGCAACAAACCTCTAAAAAGTTAGAGTGAAACAGAGAACACTGCAGCTAGTTTTAAAAAGGGCAGAAAATAAGACTTACTACACTTTAAGCAGTTAAAGTTAAAACAGATAATCTGAAAATACACATTTAAACTAAAAAAAAACAGATCACAGATTAAGTCAGATTATTTGTAGTTGGCTACACTTTCTTTTTGTTGCTGATAGCTATGTTGCTTTTACATACAGTTTTGTTTAACATTCGTCAATCTTAATCCAAGGTAAAACAAAAACCTGGCTAATCTAAATAAAAGAGGATCTAAAAAACACAGAAATAAACAAAACTCAACCAAACAACCTGGGGTTTAAACAAAAATTACCTTAATTAATTTTAAGTCAAACATACTGAGAATAATCATCTTACCTTTAAAACTTTATTTTTTCTTCTCCTTTTTCTTAATCTTGCACAAATTAAATGTGATGTGGTCAGATGAACAGAGTTTTGAACACTCAGAGAGGAAGTCAGGCGAGAAGTGTTTCACAAAAATGACACCTTCAAAATTTTTCATAATCTTAGAGCCGCCTCTATCAGATATTACTAATAAAGCTGCTGTCTCAGTTTACTGGCTTTCCTTTCAGAGGTTTATGGTACGGAAATATTACATCACAGATTACACCCCCCTCTTCCCCATATTCTGCACCATATCTCCTCTCTACTGACGTTTCTGTTTCTCGTTTAGCTCTTAAATGTTGCAGCTTGTCAGTGATGAACCTACGATCATCATTCTTCTCTACCAAGAAGTATTTGCTGTGCAAATTTATTTGCATAACTTCAATTTGCATATCTGAATAAAAGATACAGTCAAGCCAACAAGAGGACTAAAACTCTGCAATGTTAATGCTTTCCCCCTAACATATCCTTATTTCTGATTGTCTTGACCAAAACCCAAATGATACAAGGAATCCTCAATATCATATTTGACATTTATTCATATGACATCTGAGATAAGTTGCATAAAATCTTTGTTCTATGGGAGCATTGGGCTGCCACCCAATCAAAAGGAAAATATCACTGCATCTTTTTATAATATAAAAGCGTTATCATACTACAACATACATTCTAGAAAAAAAAAAAAAAACTTTCTTCATAGTTGAAAAAAATTAAGTAAAAAAAAATCAAATGACACCAGCAAATATTTAATTTGCAACAGAGACATGACATAACAAAGAAAATATAATTTGCATAAATGCTTTTTCATCATTTTTCAAAACTTAGATTCCGAAATAAATTTTTCATGGTCAAACGTTTGCTTGTTTTTTCCATTGAAAAATAAAACTGCTCATATATTACTATAAAACATCATTATTATTATGATGCTGAAACTAAGACTTGATGTTTCCATAAATGTGTCATTTTACCGCCACTAACGTGTTTTTAAACATTCTGCTACATGACGCATAATGTCACCATCTAGTGGCCAGACACGGAAACTGTTGGAGTTCACACAAGAACAAAGATCCGCAAAGATTCACAAATTTATACAGAAAAATCACTTTGAAATTATTTAGTCCTTATTTTAAGACAAGTCAGGTTTAGTTGTACATTAGTCCGTTCAATAAATGTAAATATTATTAAAAAAAACCATTTACTTCAGTAATTGTATCAAGTAGTGACAGACATTATATACTGTAGATTAAATGTACACAGATGGATGAAAATATCTGAATCATGATGATTATCTACTTAATAATACTACTTAATACTTAATGTTTTGTAAAAACATAATATTTAAAATTAGAATATTACTTCAGACCCTTGGAGACATTTTGCTCTGTTCAGCTTGTAGGTTAAAAAATAAAGTACAAAATCTCAGTGTTTTGAAATCGTCCAGTGAGAGTAGAAATTCTGCTCAGTAAAACTGTGTATATTCAATAACTTTTCAAAAGGCAAAAAAAAAACTATCAAAGGCAAAAAATGAGCTAATCTTTCCAACATTTTCAGACAGAAGTAACAGAAGAACAGGCTTTAAAAATGAATTTTCTGGGACAGATTAGAGGTCAAATTATATCCCACATGTACTCCAACAACCTGACATATAAAACCCATCACAGTGAAGCAGATTCACATTGGTAGTTCACAGCTGTAAGAAATTAAGATGAATTGCTCAGTTCTGATTTCAAGTAGCTGCAGAAAATTAACGATTTATCTGTTACACAATATAGATACCTTGGCTGTAAAAGGATCTTCAGTTTTTAGGACCTTCTTCCATTATAAACATAAATGTTGAGTTTCCTTAACATCAGCACACTTGTACTTAATTTCCTTACTGACCACTAAATAGTGTTTCCCCCCCCAAGACCCACATGAGTGGAAGATGTAAAAGTCCCATCACTGACTGAAAAAGCATTGAATGAAATAAAGGTAATCAACAGACTTTAAGCATACTAAATATTGGTTTATTGAACTTTATTTTGAAATGAGGCTGTCTATTCTGCCAACTACTCATCATATGTGGAGCCTGTGTGCAGCAAGAAATATCACACACTCTCAAAATATTAAGGAAATTTAATATCCTGAATACAGAGTTGTTCTTTCAGATCAAGAGACAAAAAGATGTCAAGCAAATTTCTTATCATTATAAACTCCTACCCAACCCTCAACATTCATTCATAACTTACAAATATGTAGAATATTAACATTAGTGTTTACAAAACACAACATGGAAAAGATGGAACAATTACAATCCTACAACTTCAAGTCGTCCCTGTTAGGTACCAGGCTGGTGGGTCTGCTGGGTTCCTTTTCAGATCATCCACCAGAGGGCGCCTGTTGACAGCAGGTTCTTGGAGGGCGTGTCGGCAGGTCCTAACCAGACGCACCTGTGGGGAATTGTCATCTCCTGGTGGAGAATATGAGCAGCTGGCTGCCAGCACATCTTCTCCAGAGTGTTCGCCTGAACTGGACGCCTTCTAGAGCCTTCACAAAGAGAAATAAACAGCTGATCCCATCTAATTAAATCCCATCTAATTTTACTTGTCTGCATTGTTACTATATGACACACTATGTGATTCCAAATCAATTAAATTGGAAAAAAAAAGTTAATTTGGTTTAAGTTATAGCTGAATAAATGAAGTTTTACTGTTTTCAGTATTTTTTGGTGGCAGAAACTTTTTCACATGAAAATGTTTGACACTTTATAAAAGTTGAATTTGGATAAAATCAACCTGTGAATTAAACAAAAATAACTCTGAGAATCAAGCAGGTTGTCATTTCAGTTCAGTTTTAATTGTTCAGAGGGAAGACAAAATATTATGAAAAATTCAAAATATATAATCTGAAAACAATATAGTTTACAAATAATCCGTAAGAATACTTTAAGTAATATATGAATATATTTGTGCATTGACAGCGCCTACGCTCTGGCAGATCGAAAAGCTGACATGCTGACATCATCAGTGCTGCTGATCTCCTGATTCTTAGACGTTACACAACACAGTGAGGCCCCAAGCTGGTTAAATGCACTTTTCCTCAGAAAAATATACAAAGCTGAGTCTGCAAGAGGACTGAGAAAAAGACCAATTGTAACCACAGTCCAGGAGACTGAATTTTCCCACCGTTTTTTCACCAGATAATATATCATGTTGGGGATGAAAAGCAGAACATATATGAGCAACACCGCAACCAGGATGGAAATAATTCGATGTTTTTCCTCAGCAGGGACACTGCGAGCTTCAGACAGAGCTTTAATGGTCCCAACCAGGCACAAGATGAACAAGGGAAGAGGGAGGAGGAGACCAGCAGCCTGGATGATTACTCTCCTCTCTAATTCTAAAAGGAGATACATGGTAAGATTATAAAGAAAAGAAAGGATCCAGACTGCGACACAGACCAACACAGACGTCTTGATGTTTCGTTTAAATCTGTACCACAGCGGCCTGGAAATGGCCAAATACCTGGAGTAAAAGATACCTGCTGTCAGACATTACTGATGTAATAGTGTGAGACAGAAACAGCAACATGCATGTAAACAGATATTTACCTTTCCAGGGAGACACACATCATGAATCCAATGCTGGCTGTAATGCCAAAATCAAGGGCACAACGAGAGGCATCATTAGCTGTACGTGATATTATAGGAACTCTGCTGCAGTACTGGACGACATCAGAAAGCAGAAGGTTGAAGATGTAAACTGGAGCAACATTATCTTCTTTCACCTGCAGGGGAATCAAAATGAAAATAAAGACAAAAGATTTCCTTCCAACTTCCTGCAACAATTATTTGGTTCTTTTTCCACAAATGTATCACATAGTTTTTTTTTAATTATTTTTGAATATTCTTGAAATTCTTACCCCCAGGCTCAGAGAAAACAAATATTAATATAAGATGTATAACATATCAAACATACAGCTAAATATAAAGAACTCACCTTTGATAAAACAGCAAACATGGCCACCAGAGTCAAAGGAAATCCAATGACAATAGAGATACAATTTCCCACATACAAGACTTGGTTCTCATCAGAACCGTTACTGGTTCTGTTAGATGCATCACTGTAGCTGGAGAAGTTCTGACTGAGGGAATCTCCCATTATTCAAAATCAAACCTGCACGAGCAAAATAATGAATAATAAAAACCTTATTTTTCATTTAGCTTAATTCAAAAACAAAGTATTACATTTATTTTAAAGGGAAAATCCTGTGAAAGGATGTTTTCCAAAGAATAAACATTTTAAGTTTTTTTTAGGACAAAAAAATAAATAAATATTAAAGACAAAAAAAGCTACAGACTGTAATGCTAAAAATAATGAGTGGAAAATAAGCCTTAGTTTCTACTGTTTAAGCAGTTCCATTAAATTGAACAGGTTATTCAGTGACATATTAAATTAAGTGTGTTTTTCTGTAGAGTCATAGAAAATATATATTTACCTTTAAAGTTTAAAGGTCCTGAAATGGTTCCTGTTGGTAGCCAGTTATCCTCCTCACCTCTACAGCCTGCAGCCTGAGCGTTCTGCATATAAACGAACTTTATCATGTCTGAACAATGACATCTGACTTCTGTATTAAAGGAAATGGCTGCAGAGATGATGTGATAGGTTCATTTTCTTTATCAACAGGAAGAAAGTGTCTTCTAAGATCACAACAAAATGTTTCAGGTTTTCATGAATCAAGTTGTTTAAATTCAATTCAGTTCAGGTATATAGCACCAATTAACATGAAACATCCTCTGAATGTTCTTAAGGGAAAAAAAGTTGATTTTAACTTAAATTACTAGTTTAACCTTTTTCACTTACATTCATCAATTTAAATCATTCATGTTTTGGGACTCTGCTGTCAGCAAGCAGCTCCTCAACTGTAAACTATTACTGTAACTGTAGAGAAGAAAAATAAAGTCATGGAAACATTTCACATTAACATAGAAACACATTTATGAAACAGAGTGTGGAGATGCTGGGTGCAGGATGTTCTGCATTGCTCTCTTCTCCTCTTGCTTCATCACCATGTTGGTTCTTCCATCTTCCTCTGTGTGGTGTCAGCTGGTGGCTGTGACTCAAGATGGGGTTTTCCAACTTTGGGCCACAGAGAGACTGGTGAGGGTCACTTTATGTGGCTTCACTGCAGCTAACAGACCAGAAAGGATGGCACTGTTTAAACAAAGTGACCTGAACTCATTTCAAATAAGTTATATGAATCATCTTATTATAAAAACTTTATTTATTCTTCTCCTCTTCTTAATGTTGCACAAGTGAAAAGAGATGTGGTCAGATGAAACGGGTTCTGAACAGACAGAGGAAGTGAAGGTAGAAATGTTTCACAAAATGACACCTCCAAATTTTTCATAATCTGACAGCAGAGTCTGTCAGATATCATCAATATGTCTGCTGCCTCAGCTTACTGTCTGTACAGCTTTACTGCACTGGATCCAGCTTATTTTTACAGCAGTGACACGTCTTCTGATTATATATGTTTCATGTTAAGTTTATAGTTATGACTAAATGTGATGGAGACCAGGGGTTCATCACTATTAAAGGACAAACCAAATGTTTCTAGTTTCAGTTGTTTATTTCAGTTGCACTGTGACATTTAGTTGATCGTTATTTCAGGAAGGGGGACTGGCCATCCTTCCTGTACAGGGAGAAGGTTGATTTGTTCTGAGATTTTCTGTTGGTTTAATTTGAGTTCAACAATTGTTGAGCATTTACCTTTCCTGGTGTCTCCTCAGCAGAGGGGAGCAGCAAAAAGAGACAAACGCTCCAGGTGCTGCTGAAAAGCTGCTGGAGCATTAGGAGGGGAATGCTCTTATTAAGTTAAGTTATATTAAGTTACATTTAGTCTTTGATCAGTTTAGTTGTAATTATTTTCATGCAAGTATATATTTATTGGTAGCATTTATTGTTTTTTATTGCGTTTTTGTAAGTGTTTATTTCCTGTTTTATAAGTGGTTCAAAGTGGCAAGTGGTGTCAGAAGTTTGGCTTTGGAAGAAACGATGAGGCAATTCATTATTTTGCTGTTTGATTTTGAATAATGGGAGATTCCCTCAGTCAGAACTTCTCCAACTACAGTGATGCATCTAACAGAACCAGTAACGGTTCTGAAGAGAACCAAGTCTTGTATGTGGGAAATTGTATCTCTATTGTCATTGGATTTCCTTTGACTCTGGTGGCCATGTTTGCTGTTTTATCAAAGGTGAGTTCTTGTTAACCTATATTGGTGATGCTAGCTCTGCTGAGAAACTGGATCAGCTGGCAGGCCTAGTCAAATCACTGATGCAATCTCAAACCGCCCATGACCAGCAGATTGAGAAGAAATCAGCACGGCAAGAACCGAGAAGAAGAATTTACAACATCAGCTTCGACAGCTACAGGCTCACCTGGAGCATGATGGTGACAACATGTAGAGGATCCTCACACTCATGATGATGAGGGGGACAATCATGATGTCACCATCTAGTGGCCAGACACAAAAACTGTTGAAGCACACACATGAATAACGAGGATTGTTCACAAATTTACATAAAAAAATCATTTTGAAAAATGAAATATGTGACCTTATTTGAATTCAAGTCAAATGTAGTTGCATAGACACGTTCAATAAGTTAGAATATTATTAAAAAGTAAATTTACTTCAATAATTTATCGCTGTGAAGCACATTATGCAGATTAAATGTACACATGGATAATAATCTCTGAATTATGATGATTGTCTATTCAGAGTCGATGAAAACATAATATTTAAAATAATATTATTGCATCAAACCATGTCAAAGTTCTCAGAGGCATTTTGCTCTGGTTCAGCTTGTTGGTCAGAAAATAAAGTACAAAATCCCAGAGTCCATAGATTTTGGAAATATCCAGTGAGAGTGGAAATCTTTCACAGTAATTATAAAAACTGTTTATATTCAGGAGTTTTTCAAAAGGCAAAATGAAAAAATCACAGCCAAAACATGAGCCAACATTTTCAGTCAGAAGTAACAAAGGAAAATATTTTTTAAATTCCTTTAAAGGAACAGATTATAAGCCAAGATATATTCAACATGTAACCTCCTCAACTTGAATGTGAATTTGTAATTCACATTACAAATTCACTGTAATGTGAATTTGCCATATTACAGTGTGGCAAATTCACATTGACGTTTCTGCAAGAAATGCAACAGATTTAATTTCAAACACCTGTTAAAAATAATGAATCTGTTATAAAATATAAATATCTTAAAGGCTGTAAAAGGAGCTTCAATTTTTATGATCTTCTTCCATTATAAATATAAATGTTGATTTTTTTTAACACCAGTACACTTTTATTTAATTTCCTTACTGATCACTAATTAGTGTTATTTTCCCTCAGACCCATATGTGTGTAAAATCTAAGAGTCCATTTACTGATTGAAAAAGGATTGAATGAAACAAACGCAGCTGGGCGACTTTAGAGCAGAACAAATATTGTTTTGTTGCACATTATGGTGTTTTATGCTGTCAGAGAAATGAGGCCCTGCACACTGACAACTACTCTGTTTCTATCTGTGTGCAAAATAAAATAATACACATTATCAGAGAATATTGTTAAAGAAATTTAGTTCTGAATAAAAAGTTGTTCTTTCAGATCAAGAGACAAAAAAGTTAATATCTGAGATAAAAACAAACCTATACAATGTTGTCAAGCAAATTTCTTACCATCACAAACTCCTACCAAACCCTCAACATTCATTCATAACTTACAAATATTTTCATACCAAGAAAGTTACATTTTTCAGCTCATCATCCTTTGCCTCATGAAGTCCAAATAAAAATGTGACAAACCAAAATAATCGTCATGTTTAGATGGTTATACAATGTTCAGAGAGTGAAAGTCTAAAAATAATTTAAAAAGTATTTCTTACATAAACTTCCTTTAGTCATAAAATACAAAATGTGTTAAAATGTGTCTGTTTTTATATCATGTCAAACATGATATATTTCCTGTTTCTGCAGATTTCTCACAATCTAAGCAGCAGTTTTGCTTCATCACAAGAGATGGTATTTTTAAGTTTAACAAGTCTGAGTTCTGGAGAAATGTTAGTTTTCTCCCAGGATTGTTTCTCTAGTCCAAATGAATGCTTTTGTTCTATATAATAAACATTTCAATTAAATTCTTCTAATTGTAAGTGTATGCATTATTATTATTATTATTATTATTATTATTATTATTAGATACACATTATGTGGTTCAGAATCAGTTAATTTGCAGAAAAGCTGAATTGGTTTAATCTACAGCTGAATAAACAAAGTCTTCCTGTTTTCAGCATTTTTCAAAGATTTCAAATGACACTTTCTACATGTTGTACCTGGTTAAATTCAACATGTGAGACACATTCAAACAGTCAAATTAAAGTCCACTTAAAAATGTCTGAGATTCAGAAGATGAGAAAACTCTGACAATCAAGCAGGTTGTCATTTCTTCAATTGTTGGGTTTTAGTATTCAAAAGATCATGAAAAAAAAAGAAAAATGTATAATCTGAAAGCAATATACTTTGCAAATAATCCAAAAGTAAGCTTTGAAGATATTTGTGTTTCAGTGGAACCTAAACTGCTGTAGACCGAACAGCTGACATGCTGACATCATCAGTGCTGCTGATCTCCTGATTCTTAGACGTCACACAGCAACACAATGAGGTCAAAAACTTGTCAACTGCACTTTTCCTCAGGAAAATATACAAAGCTGAGTCTGCAAGAGGACTAAGGAAAAGACCAATTGTAGACACAACAAAGAAGATTGAATTTTGCCCGTGATTTTCCAACAGATAATATATCACGTTGGGGAGAAAAAGCAAAATATATATGAGCAAAACCACAACCAGGATGGAAACAATTCGACGTTTTTCCTCAGCAGAGACACTGCGAGCTTCAGACAGAGCTTTAATGGTCCCAACCAGGCAGAAGATGAACAAGAGAAGAGGGAGGAGGACACCAGCAACCTGGATGATTTTTACAATATGAATTTCCAAAAGGAGATAAATGCTAAGATTATAAAGAAGAGAAAGGATCCAGATCGTGACACAGACCAACACAGATGTTTTGATGTTTCGTCTAAATCTGTACCACAGCGGCTTGGCAATGACCAGATACCTGAAACAAAAGATACCTGCTGTCAGATGAAGTGGCAAAATTAGTACATATGTCTGCATTCTTACTTTTGTAGACATTTATTTCCTTTAACTAGTATGCATGTAAGCAGTTTTGTAGGCACAGAGTGCAAGAAAGGTTCAGAGTAGGTGTCTATGCATCAAGTATCTTTTTCCTTCTATGTACTGACTGAAGTTTTCCCCTATGTTCCTACTTTCCAATATGTGTGCGTGCGTCAAAACTAGATGTGGTTTTAACAGATTGGTATAAAGGATTGTGTACAGCTACACTGTGCTTGTCTGTCTTGAACGCTTCAGAGGCCTTTGAAATAAAACATTTAAACACAAAGATAGATCTTCATCATTTCTTAACAGTTTTCTCTATTGTTTATTTAAGAATTTCCATAACACAGACATTAGTGATGCAATGGTGTCAGAAAAAAACAATACGCATGTAAACAGATATTTACCTTTCCAGGGAGACACACATCATGAATCCAATGCTGGCTGTAATGCCAAAATCAAG